TTAATTTTAATTTTAATTTTAATTTTTTAATGAGCTATATAGAAGTAAAAAAAAACTAATTAATTTTTGTTTCAACATTTTACATATCATTATACAAAATACTTTTTATGTATAAAAATGATAAAATAAAATAAATAAAAGTAAATACAATTGTATTCGATGTTTATTTTAAACTCACTGTAAGTGTAGTTGATTTGTTAAATTTGCATTAAATAATGTATCTTAAATTCTTCATCAAGTTTTAAATTGTTTAATAATTGTTGAACTTAGTATTTACTAAGTTTTAACTAGTATTTCTAACTAGTATTAACCACAGTATTTAACTTGATATATTAATGAATTATCAGTAAACTATATTTATTAAAAAATAAAAATGTTGTATTTATTTAAAATTTTAAAAACATTTATTCAATAACTTTAAATACTATTCGAAAAATACTGTATGGGATGTTGCAGTAGGGGTATTTTTTCCCTAGAGCAGAGTATTTGTGTTTACTGTGTTTTACAGAAAATGTTTTTTCTGTGATTTGATATAGGACACCCACACACCTTTTAAATTATTTAATGAATCACATGATTTAAATATACCACTTTTGTGCCRCTGTTGTTATAGATACATTAACTAGAGTTCGCATCAAGCGTACTGCCGGTTGGTAACTCCGTCCAATCGATGTGGTATATTTTAGGTAACATTCATACACAAAAACTGGATTCCTATAATAGGTATAAGCAAAGCACACCAAATAAATGTATAAATGTGAGGTAACAATTAAAAAACAACTTGTGGTTTTGTGGTTTGCTGATTTACCAACTCCCAGTTCGTTTGATGTGGACTATTTAATAGTAGAATTGATTACAAAATGCTCAACATTATACAAAATCTATAAAATTTAAAAATATTTTTTAAGTAGTCTGAAAAAAAAAATTATCATAACAACAGAGTAAGAAATACACATTCTACTATAAATTGATTTTGAGTTTTATGGGTAAATAATTTGATAAGCTTTATAATACCTAGTTTATTAAGATCCGGAACCCTTTCTTGAAACAAATWCCTTCTATCCATAATATTAATAAGTGATAACTGGGGTCCAGAAATTTATGAATTTGCGTGTCTTTACCTCGCAGTATTTTCAAAAATGCCACCATACCTGTAGGTAGAACTATTATGKTTACTTATGGAAACAATCAGTAATTCCAAGTATTCATAATATGATCTAATGAATAACCGATTTTATATTTTCCACATCAAAAATATTGTAGTGTCATCACTACATTGTATTGGATACTATGTTATAAAAACATTATAATCTCTGAGAATCAAAGCATAAAGTTTAGATGTTGTTCTTAGGTTGTATTTAGTTGTATTTCTAAAGTACAGGTATAATATATTTAAAATCAATCAAACCTTAMATCTTTTCTTTTTGTTTAAACCTTATGTAAAAAATTAAATTTGATATTTTGATAGTGTTCAATGCATGAACTTCTAGGCCCTAGTGATTACTATGTTGTCGTATACTTTTTAACTCAGCAACTTAAAATTTCATARAAAAATTTAGATATAACATTTTTKAATTACCTTTTAAAAATAATCATAGTTTTACAATACTTWAACTAAAATTGCCACTTAATAATTAAAAAAAATATTTATAATTACTTTATGAAGGGAGTTCAAACTCAATTAATTTCATAACATTATAAGTTATAACTAAGTMTAAYCTGACTAATTAATTTAAATATTGATTAGGTAGGTCCTGTCAATTATTTATCTCATTTAACACTTAAATACTTATTAATATGATAGCAGATACCAATAAGAAAAGTTGTTTTGGTACTTAACCTATTACAAGAATTTACATTAGGTATGAATATATTTACCATTTGAAGAGGCAAATTCTGCTAAACATGTATCGAAATACATTTGAAGTCGTTCAATCTGGTTAATTAAAATACCTCTAAATGCTACAAGTTCATTGAGTTTATCTTGCAAGCCTTTATTTTTCTTAAACACTGGTGACATGGTGGACATATTACTGGATAATATAGAAAGTGAACTGCCATTTCGCTTCAAATTGTTTTCACTGCCGTATCCGGATTCAGCTTTAAGTGAATCTATGACATCTATCCAATGATTTTTAGTTGCTGATGAGTCAGCTCGTAAATACCAAGCACAATCATTTAGTGACACGTCAAAACGGCAGTCATCTACTTCATGCACCTATAAAATTAAACAACTGTATAATTACTTAAGAGAATTTACAAATACTAAACACCATTCCCCATCAATTAACATACCTTGACAGTAGCTTTCAATARACTAATTGCACCGCGGCATCCACACTCAGTTTCTGATTGTGATTTAAAGTATAGTAAGGTGCCGTTCTTCAATACAAAATATCGCTTTTGCCAGCCGTGTAAGAAGTTGGTCCACTTATTCAGGTACCCTTGCAGTTCAATTCTGACTCGATCTTGGGTTTCTTCGTCGTCTTCGTTGATCTGGGCTATCGGACACTCTGCCATCACACTGGCTTAGTAGTTAGTTTACTTTGTAGAATCGTTATAGGTACATTTCTTTAGAGTACACGTTCGACTATTATACTATACCATCATTCAATAAGCATTAAATTGTACAACCACGCCTATACAATGATTGAGTCAGTTAAATAGCCCATTAAAATCACTTGAACGCTATAGTAAAACGTAATTTTGGTAATTGAAAATAATATTATTGAATTCTTTATCATGTTTATCACTACCTCGATGAGTATTTCCGATAATAATTTGTTCCAATCATGGCTGTTACAGTGCATTCATAACAGACGGCGAAATATGATTGCGTACAAGTCACCACCCAACATCGCATAGACTAGAGTATACCATATTACCAAGATACATTGAGGAGAAATTAAAAGTATTCAAACACTTTTTATGTAGATAACATGTGTCTACTCAAATATGCATACTTAGTTAAATACTAAAAAAAATATTTTAAATAATCAAATACCTACATTTTCATTTCCGTTGAATAGTTAAAAATATTTTTTTTATTTTCGATTTAATAACGTATTAAAAAAAAAATCGAGTAGAATAATCTACGAAATTTATACAAAACATAACAATGCTAAAAATAATGTTGATCAGTTAATTTATGTAGTAAAACAATTTGAAAACCTATGTACCTTTATTAATAAAAGGATATTTATTTGTAATCAAAATTAAAATACTTCTTTATATACTAATATAAGAGGGTAGGTATAGTAGGTATACACGTTTAAATTGAACTACCTACCTATATGATAATGAATAATGATACAGTTATTATGAATAGGTTAATAGGTAATTTGTTCTAAAATTATTTCATTATTATTTAAATAGGTAAGTGTATCATTGTATTTCGAACTATTTTTAAGTATGTATATGCAATTTAATTATTGTTTTCTCTGCTGTATAGGTATTATTGAAATATTCGAAATAAAATTTAATCAAAACATCAATGAAATAGGTAAAACAAATATTGATTAATATAGTCTTTTCAATTCCTATAAAAATTATTTTGTATACTTCCTGACTATAGTATTTACTGGCTACTGCACTATAAACGAACGAATATAGAATTACTATAAAAAAGAAGGAATAGAACAGAGTAAGAAAATATGAAAGAACAATATTGACAGAGCTATTGACATTATAAGATTTGTTGCATATTAATGACAACATTATCATCACTGATGGATTTAACGACTTTAAAATATTATGATTAATTATATTAAACAGACCTAGCTAGGTGCTGCAAAAGCAAACATCGAATATCATATTATAAACACATTTATACACATACGAGTGTACAAGATACAGGTAAGTATTAATGTATAAATAGGTGGAGTTAATTTAACAATAATAATAATAATAAAATAATATATATATATTATGTAGATTTTAGCTAGGTATACATATATTATAGTTTCTTTGAGTGACGAAATACAAATATTATGCATCATAAAGTGCTGTCGCTGGTAGGTACATTTTAAAACATTTGTATGTTCATATTTTATTCCATGCCAAGAAATCCTTAATGTTAAATCGTTTCCGTATAATACAAATATACATAAATATAGGAAATGGGAAAATAATTGCCACCTTTATAAAAGGAAACACCTCTTTAGACCCACCCCACAACGCGATTACCTATCTGATTCAAAATAATATYAAAAGCAAAAACATTCAACATAAAAATGAAAGTTTCGTAATATCTTAATCGTAATATCACCAAAACAATACATTACACAGATTTAATGTAGTATTTCAAGGACATTTGAGTTTGAATTTTTTCATTAAATAATAAGTWAACGTAGTTACTTGTACTTGATACATGATAATGATATAATTAATTACTGATTAAAGATTAGTCGATTCGATTACATAACATAACAGTAACATATACTGATAGGTACCTACTAACTTATAAATTGGTTAAATTATAAAAAACATTTGGTACTTATAACATCGACAACATCCATCAATTTTTTTTGGGGGATAGTGTTTTGCGCCAATTTTAGTAGGTATTATAGGTACCTACTAGAAATGTATGCCATTAAGACCTAAGTATATTTAAGTGTATATGTAATCTGAGACCTGAGTTGAAATATACAAAACAACATGTAATTTGTGCCACATTTAAGMTCTAAATCTTAATTTTATAATTTACGTCACACAATTAAATTTTTATAATTCACCTGATGAACTTACAGTAACTCTAATATTTAAATTAACAGCACACTATTGAAACYAGTTAACAAAAATTTGGTATGTCGTGTGTTTCTAAGACGGAGACAATAGACTCATAGGTAACATACTTTTATACCTATGTTAAAACAAAAATAATTACCCAATAATTATTTTATTTAATTTTGATAAAGTAAAAAATAATGCAAATTTCTATTTTTTTGGTACAAGATTACACAGATTACAGAATGCTCTTTGCTCTTTCATCTAGTTTTATGTTGAGAAAATTACCTAAATTATCATTTTTGGATTAGCGTAAATCACATTTTCTAATTRCCATAAATTACATACTATATATATACGGTCATTATTTAAATTTTTATTGGAGTTTTAATGAGTAAGAACGACCTTAGTTTAAATTAAGAAATAATAATTATTATTATAGTCCAAAAAGATACAGCAGATGAGATAAAGTTATAAAGATATATATTTCACATTTAGGTGTTAGTATTGAGTATAGATAATATATATAGTATACATATATATATTTAATCTATACTCAATGGTATTAGGTAATGTATAAATTGTTTTAGATTTAGGCATATTATGATTGCTAACTAGTAACTACATAAACGGCTGTAAATCAAAATATTGTACATGTTTAATTACCTATAAAATGGTACCTCATTAAGTAGCTATTTAATTTATATTTATATAATTATATCACTATAGGTATTAGCCATTAGGTGCATATTTTAAATTCTGTATCTATTCTCACGTACTTAGATCAATATTTTTTTGATTGATTTGCTCCAAGTACCTATTTTTATAACAGTTTGTATTTAATATTCTTGTCCTAATATATTTAAGTTGATTCATGTTTTAAGAAAGTATATTTATGCATTAGTGATTAGTTACGAAGTAGGTAATTTAAAATTCGAGAAGAGTTGAAAAATAAAACATATAATTTTCAAACTATTTTATTTACATACCTGCAGCTATATTGCAGATAACAAGTAAACAATAAATTAAGTTTTCATTTTTATTCTCTTTAATTACACATGATTACGTAAAGTCTACGTTATACAGTGAAAAGAAATTGTTGTATTTATTTCCGCATAATATATTATACATTAATAACATTGTTTATAACTACAGTATTCGAATGTACATATAATATGTATATATATTATTCATATTAACAAATTTATAATCGTTCATAACACTATAAAGGAAATATGTCAAAGTTCAAAGTATACGTTTTTTAGTTTATAGATGGAATGCAAATCCTACCAATATTTCACACAGTCCATATTTGCGACCACCGTAATATATAGGTTGGAAATTATTAAGCATGGGGAAAATTAAAAAAAGAAACAAATTAAGGTGATTATTTCCTAGGATAAATGCTTAAAATTTGAAAAAATGATTTTTTTACAAACTTTATGCATATAGGTACACAAGTTAATTAAGTCATAAATTAATACAATACAAACAAATTATAAAACATTAACTTGCGTTGAGACTAGAGGTGAACGAATCATCAATATAATATATAGGTAGGTAAATACCTACATTCATTTATCAAATCATATAGTGCAATATATGTACATTTTTTATTTTTTCATCCCTCCTAATAATTATATCAACATTTAAAAACAAATGTGATCAATGTGATTGATTGACCTATAAAACAATATGGATTGTCTATATTATAAATATATAATTTAATAATAAAAATTGCGTTATCCACCTCCTTCCATTAATAGTCCAAAATTGTCGTTAATAATTGTTATATATACCTAAAATAGTATACCAGTAGGTAATATATGTTATATTTTACCRATTTATATTTTAAAATATATTATGTTTTAATTATTTATTATATATGTCCATACATATAGGTAGGTATATAAGGTATGACAACACTGTAAACACATCATATCTGTTAAAATAAACACAAATATACCGAACAAGGGTTACCTATGGTGATGATAGGCGCAACACAGTAATGCGCGACTATAAATTATAATTACCTACCCCACACGAAATATAGTTGTGATTTGTACAAAATAATACAGACCATATTATCAAATAAGTTACAGCAGAAATTAATTTTTATTACGACAAAATATAGGTACGTTTATGGCCACATACTGACACGAAAATCCAATCAAATTATTTCTAGCGTATCTCAGATAGTGAGATGTAACTAATTAATGTAACTTATAACTATTGTGTTTGTGTTTGATTTTAATTGCCCATATGTTATAATATAATAATAGGTAATTCAGTAATGTATTTAAAGGGAAACAGCTTACTATGTGGTCTGTGAACTACCCATATTCATTAAACACACCATAATTTATACTTTTTTTTATTACCAGGATTAAAATATGTAAAATATGAGTTATAAGCTTGTAAGTTAACTATGTTTAATTTTAAATTTTTGATTGTGACCTCCTCCCTGAATAAGATATTTCTAAATACCTATACCTCTTTTAGATATCATAAACATTGTATCTACTCAGTGGTACATTATCGATACAAAAAACATAAATAAAAATTATGATGAAAATGGAAATGTCAAGTCTCTCTGATCATTCCTTTACTATTTATAAAATAACACTAAAGTTAAAACTCCAATATTGTGACCGCACGAGTCAGCAATTAGTGGTCTCGTACATCCTCTTAATCCGCTTTCCCTCATACACGTTTCTTTGATGGTCCAGCATTGCAATTGTGGCATAAATATTCCCGTTTTACAATTGTTTTTTTAACAACTATTAGAAAAAAACTGCTTGATTTTTTTTTTTTTTGATCTTTCAGAATAGGCGTGGTTTGATCCAATTTTGTACCATAAACCATTATCAAAGTTGAAGACTTAAGCATACCTAGTGCTCTTMAAATATGTACTTAGATGTTAATAATATGATTTGTGAATGTTGTAGTACATGATGTTATCTAGTAGGTCATTAATGTTTATTTATTAATGACCTACTATCTTT